GCAGGATACGCTCGCCTGTTTACGCGAGCACCTGGTATCATTACTATTTGATAGTGATTCATAAACACATTCTCATTTTTAGTCGGAATTGCGCAATCGATTCTGCTTTGTGCAACGATTTCTATTGGATATGGAATCCAGTATCGGTTAAACAACATGCAAACAAACCAGACTTGAAGGAAGTTTGAGGTTGTCATGAGTGAGTGAACACTCGGTGACACACTCCCATGGAGAGTACTTCAGGTCAGCAATATGTGACAGGGTGGCCAAAAGTAATGCTACTCATAGATGTTCAGATATACCTTTGATGAAACACTGAAGGAAACCCTTAGCAAAACTGAAATAGAACCAACGACTCATCATGCTGGAGATCTATTTTCTTTGCGATTCGTATATAGAGACGACTACACTAATTCTCATAAGATACCATTTTGATGAAACGTGTGGACTTTCTATGGTATCTGACCAAGCGATAGTCGGTACTCGGATAGCACTATACAAAGCAAAATCATGATACAAACGGGCTATAGATCGCCACCCACTGAAGGTAGATCTTCATACTGGGGACCATGGGGACTGACAATACCTTTGCTACCTTCAAGTGTTAGCGATTATTGGCAAAGTAAGCCTAACGTAGTGAAATGACACATATTCTACGATTTAAACGCGGTAGTTCTAAATTTACTTTGAAAGATATGGAACTTACGTACCCTTTCAGGAGGACAATAATATTACAGTACTTTAACCCCCTTCGAAGATACAGCCACTAACAATCTCAGTTGCTAACCTAATCTACCAAACATATAAAACATATATGTATTTCACAAGACACACCTATTAAATGTTTTAAAAGAACTATTTCCTTAAAAAACACAATGATTAAACGAGAATTAATACTTTTAAAAAGATCCTTAATAGTTGATGATTTGAAATATTTATCCCTTGTGATGGCAAAATCAATACAATCAAGCATGAAATGCTTGAATGTGAGTCTCTAATCACAAGGGATACAAAATGGAGGATCCTCACCTTTCAATAAATATTCATGTGTATACCTGCTATGGCCAATACAACATCGTCGTATTGTGACCTCTTCAAAACTGGACTGACAACCCGAGTAGGTGTAACCAATAGTTGGTTTTATTTTATGTAATTTATTGATACCAACTTGGGTGTCCTACTTTTTTTGCATCAGATCACGGATAATGGCCTATAATCACTGGCTTGTAATCGTGTATGGGGCCAAAAGGGGTGCCACAGATTTGTTGAGTGCTGCTTTAGCTGCAGCATCAGCAATTGTGTTACCAAATATCCCAACATGGCTGAAAACCCACAAAAGACGATGTCGTAGTAGCCAGTAGCAAGTTCATTAAATAATTCAGTAATTTCGACTAAAAGTGAAACTGAGATGATATGTTATGAATAGCCTGTAGGCACGAAAGAGAATCGGAAAATATGATACACTTCTTAACTGTTTACTGATATATTGTTAAGCTCTTAAAATTGGATTGGCCTCCGTTGTGAAAATATATCGGGTAACCTGGAGGAGACAGTCCTCGATCCAATGACAGTGGCGCTGGCAACAGCAGCACTATCCTTGGATCAATCTGTAAATATAGATTTGAAAGTACCATATGTGTTTCTTAACTCATTATATTGTTGTTGATAAATTAGTTGATTTGTTTCAGACTTCTTTAGTTTAGTTAATGTCCACCAGATCCACCTCTGGCTTTACCAACTGCCAAGGTGGAGAAGACAAAAGCTGCGTGGGGCTATATTTTCAAGACTAATTTGAGCGGCAGAAATATCAGATTGAAGTCTTATTCCAAGTGGAGTGGGCGAATAGATGATTTTTTATTGTAGAGTTTTTCGTAAAAGGGGGTTAAAAGGGGGATGCCGGATGCGCTTATTAGAACGTAATTTAGAGATATACTGTAAGGATAATTAAACTCGACGTTGTTTAAGAGATGGGTCATCTGCCTCAACGTCAAGACTGTCAATAGGAGAAGCTTGGAAAGATCCAATACAGAGTCTTAGACCTTGATGGTGGATAGAATCCAAAAGTTTAAGATTGCTTTTGCAGGCTCCACCATAGATGATGGAGCCAAAATCCAGTTTAAAGCGACTAAGTGCTCTGTACAGTTGGAAGAGGTCACCGGTCAAGGTGGTAGGCCAAGGGCCTTCAGGCATTTATTTTTCAAATATGTTATGTCTGGTAAAATGTTAAATGGTGTAAAAAATAACACCAGATAACTTAGCCTCTTTTACAAGTTTTTTGGATGGCTATCTAAAACTAAATCTGGGTATTTATGGGGTTCGTATTTCCTACAAAAGTGTATACAATTTGTTTTGGATTTAAAACTATTTTATAACGTTGGTTGGTTGGTTTGTTGTTTAACGCCGCACTCGGCAGTATTCCAGCTATATGACGGCGGTCTAATCGAGTCTGGACCAGACAATACAGTGATTAATATCATGAGCATCGACCAACGCAACCGGGACCGATGACATGTATCAACCAAGTCAGCGAGCCTGACCAGCGAGCCACGCACCCCAAAGTCATGTAAATCTTTTAAAATACCGTATTGCCTTGTTGTATCATAAGCTTTTTCTATTTCGAAAAAGATAGACACTGCATGTTGCTTGCTTATAATGGCTTTCTTAACGAATGACTCCAGTCGACTAAATGTTTTTGTACGAAAACCACATTGGATATTTGTGATTAAGTTATTGGATTCTAAGTACCATGTTTATCTATTATTTACCATGCATTCCATGTTTTTTCAAACGCTGCTGGTCAATGAAATGGGTCGATAATTGAAAGGGTCAGTATGATCACGTCCAGGTTTAGATATAGGAACAATTATAGCTTCATGCCATGAAGGGTTTCTAAACAGGATTGCGGTAAATGATTCAGGAATTGATAATGTATATTATCAGACCCTGTAGCAGTATCATGAGCTCGCCCAAAGGCAGTATGGAGCTCATGAAAGGAAAATACTCCATTGTAATCTTCTGCGTTATCTGATTTAAAATTTATAGGTTTCTTTTCCTGGTGCTTTTGGTATTTTTTAAATTTAGGGACATAGTTAGACGAGGAAAAGTGTTTAGCAAAAGTTCCACAAAGTTTATTGGCAATATCTGATTTTCCAGTTAACAATTTATACCCATCTTTTAGACAGTGTATGCTTGACTTAGTACCCTTACCTTTGATTTTCTGAATCATATTCCATACCTTGGCGTCCGTGAATTTATCTTGGATACATAATTTTGCCAAGACTTGCGTTTGTTTTGTTAGAAGATGCGCCGAGCTTTAGCATTTATAATTTTGTATTTATTTAGATTATGTGCCTTCCTAGCTTGTTTGCAATCATGTAAACCATGGTTTACGTATTTGAGGGTTTGTGGAGGATGTGGTGGATACAGCGCGGAAAAAGTTTCATAAGGTCGGGAACATCAATAAAAACTTTCGGTTGTAGTTTGTTTGTACAAGGGATGTCATATATCGCCCAGTTGTCTTTAATAAAATTTCACTTTGATGATGGAGGAACGTCAGGTGGTTTAACTGACTTCGAAAGCGTAGGAAAATGGTTACTTCTACAGAGGTCATCGTGGACGGACCATTCAAATTCATCAAGATAATTAGAATCTACAACTGACAAGTCCAGTTGCAGGATGACGATACATGTGAGAAACATCATTAAAAACTTAAGGCATAAATCGTTAGTAATCCTCTAGTAATTTTCCTTTAGTATTGCTGTCATTACCACCCCAAAGTGGGTTATGACCATTCAGATTTCCCGTGATGACACATGTTTAAGGAAGCTGGTCATACAGCGTCTGAAGATGAGATTGTTGAAGAGAGTAGGAAGGTGGTACATACAAAGAGCACAAAGTAAAAACAGTATTCAATGTTACACGTACTGCAACATCCTGAAAAATGGAGAGGAACAGGACTGTGAATGACACCCTGCCTCTCCATAACAGAATATCCTTAAGCTGCTTTATCCCCTGAAGGGGAAAAGCAATGGTAGGAGTCATACTGTCGTAAATCAAATTTATATGTGGTTTTGAGGAAAGTTTCCTGTAAACAAAATGCTGATGGTTTTACATCTTGAATTAGTAGCTGAAGGTCATTAAAATTGTTCCGAAGCCCTCGACAATTCCATTGTATTAAGTTAGCAGAGCAACTCATGGGGGTTCAACTGGAGATCTCGAGTGGGAGGAAGGTCCTCTCTGTTGAATTGGCGGAGATGGAGTGACCTCCATATCAAGAGGTTTAAAGGGGTTATGGACCTCCAGAGGGACTTTCAATGGTAAAGGCACCTCAATATGTTGCAGGGCCTTTGATTCTTTTTTTTTTTTTCTTGACATGGTTACATTTTTCATCATTTCAGTGATAGGTGCAGAATCAGCTGCAGATTCTGGGAGGTTCTGTAGAAAGTATAGTTTGTGAAGATGTTTGGTCTTGTCATCATTAATTGGAAACAAACTGGTCTACGTGACTTTTTAGATTATAATATTACATGTTGAAGATAATATCTATTGCAAATGGTTTTGAAGTGCAACTTATCCATGCACAGGGCATGGCTTGAACAGCTGATTGATAGAATCGGGCCAATTCTACCACCCGTCGAGTAAGGGTCAAAGTGGTGTGTTGGGCAAAAGGAAGAATGTTCCTGGCTCCAGTGTCCTCAACCACCAGAATCACGTCCTCCACCGACACAGGGGCGCAACCCACAGCAAACGGGTTGCCCAATTCGGTCGCCTTTTCTCGTGAGATTGCTTCAGTTCTGCATTGAAGTTGCAAAATGAATGACGTCTTGCGATTTTTTATGAATGAAAAAAGTAGTCCCAGTGTAACAGATTTTACGGTTATCTAATCAAAACGAATAAAACGAGGTCAACCTTGTGCAACACACTTGTGACGTACGGATTAAGTATCTTACCACCTGTATCGTCACCACGTGGATAATAAATAGGCATATTGTTTGACTAACCAGATGGCGTAAGACTGAAGCAGTGGTAGTGACGTCACAGAGAAGAAGTACATTAAGGCGAGGCTGGAGCAGCTTCTCCACATCTCCCAGGATTGTCAGCAGGTGCTCTTCTCTGAAGGAGCTCATATCATAGTCTACACTGAAAATACCTGATTCTTCCAACGAGCGGCTGAAGTGTATATCTGAAACATATGAAACATGCTAAGAACAGTATGTATGGGTATAAACAATACCACTCTAACTACATGGATGGATTGATATAGGTATCTGGGACATTCCAAAATGGCCGTGTGAACATTTATACATAACGTGTGTTATGACCTGGCCATTTTCCGTATTTTGGCACGTTCCCCCACATACATGCTCAAAAGACAATTTTAGATATATACACGTTCGCGTAGTTTAGTTGGAATTTATCTGCCAGACGTCGATGCTGGTGTGTCCACATTATCCATTGTAAATATTGGTATGCAGTCGTCTGGATACAGTTAAGAGACTGACAACACGTACTAGGACAATTAATGCTGCTGACGATTCACTCAAGAAGCGGTTACTCAAATAAAGCATATACAATTGACGATATTCGTTGGTTGTGAACAGTCTGTATGTCCTTGGGCTGTCCACTATCTGCCCAGTCTGGCAGGGACAGGGTGGGGCTCCCAGCTGCAGCGTACTAATGGCTGTTCTGTTACGGTTGATTTCTTGACTCCTCATGCATTGACGACCCGTGAAGATCCGGGCTAGAACAGGTCTTCAACAACCCATGATTGCCGTAAAAGGCGACTTTGCTTGTCGTAAGAGGCGACTAACGGAAATGGGTGGTCAGGCTCGCTGACTTGGTTGATGCATGTCATCGATCCCAATTTCGTACTGGATTTTCTGGTCCAGACTCGATTATTTACAGACCGTCGTCATGTAGCTGAAATATTGCTGAGTGCGGCGTTAAACAACAACCCAACCAACCAATCATGTATTGATGAATACCCTTTTTTTGTGTTTATACCCACATGCATCCTGTCATCATTCTTTCCATGCATTACCAGTTCTAACGTATTTAACCATTTTCCATTAAATTCAGTGAACTAGAGCAAGCTGTTCTGTTACTCACGTTACATATCCACCGTTGGTTACACATGATTTAGTGACATTATTTCTTGGTCGAATCCAAATTCTAATATATTTGAGTTTTGCATACTTTCTTTTGCTTGCGTGTTCTTTATAGGGTGTTAAAAATATGTTTGTCTACCAATAGCAACCGCCACTCACTCCAATTTTCATTACAAGAGTAACTGCAAACCTGTGTAAGGAGGTCTGGAAGGTCTATTTTAAGGTCAAAGCATGTGACAGCAACGTTGCCAAGCGATATGAAATATTTTGTAAATTTAACTCTAGAATTACTTAACCAGGCCTTTGATAGTGAAACGGAAGAGCTTAGTTGCATTTCCGTGAGATTTCAATAAAAAGTACGTGCTCTGAAATACTAAAGCATTTCTGAAATGTAAACCCAATAGGCAAGAGCTGATGGTATATTCCACGACATGATAGAGAAATCCACGATTGGAAAATAGAAAACATCCCTTTTGACATGCATGTACTTGTACAGATCGGTACAGAGGCTACCAGTATTTTCAATGTCTATGCATAGATTCAAATTAAGCCACTGAAATGGTTTCTCAGTTGTGAAATGTAGACGCCATAAGCTGGATCCAGTTATACAATTTGCCAATGATTACGTCGACATGAGAAAGAAGCAGTTGTTATTGAGAAGCAGAGGGATGCCAATTAATAGTGTTATCTTTATGTCATCGTCACTACGTTTAGCCATCAAATACATCAATATCTGTAAGGTCATATCACTTCAACGAGAATACATTTTGCTCCGGAGGTTTTTGAGCAAAACATATGGATTTGTTTCACAATATCGGACCCGTGAAGATTCAGGGATAGAATAGGTCTTCAGCAACCCATTCTTGCCGTCAAAGGCGACTATGCTTGACGTAAAAGGCGACTAACGGGACCGGGTGGTCAGGCTCGTTGACGTGGTTGATACATGTCATCGATCCCAATTGCGTGGATCGATGTTCATGATGTCAATCAGTGGTTGTCTGGTCCAGCCGCGATTATTTTACAGACCGCCGCCATATAGCTGGAATATTGCTGAGTGCGGCGTTAAACAACAAACGAAGAAACAAAACACAATATCGATGAGCAATTAAGCAACACTGACAGTCGGTGCTCTGAATGTCACAGGAACGTGTTATATTTCTTCAATCCAAGAACGGACTATCAGTTGAGAGAAATCAGAAGATGCCCCAGCATGGCGTTGTGCTTTTCTGTCCTCAGTGATGGAAAACTTCTGAATAGGTTTACCATTGAGGAAAGGCAGGAAATACCACATATATAAATTATAAATTTGAACTCTGGGAAGACAGAGAACGCCACATATATGAACAATCAATTTGATCGTTTAGCAGTGCATTAGCAAAATAAATATGTTCTGAATATTGGATGTGATCAAACATGGTATGCATCGTTTTCGTTCTGTTTATTTGTCTGGGTGTTTACTTGGACATGACAATGCAGGATGTAATCGTTGACATTGAGTCAAACTTAAATATACTGACAGCGACCTTGATTATAGTAATTTGTTTTAAATAGTCAATGTTGAATTTACAATATTTTGGAAGCAAATGTCAAATGTCTTTGATAAATATAAAACATCAACGGCAGAGAAAAATCAGTCTCGATTATCTTAGGAAACAGTTTCCATTGGGCTTAAATGCTAAAACAGTGGTGAAAATCATGTTTATGGATGACTGAACATCGGGATGACACCATGGCACTCGCACAATTTTCATTACGTTTTTAGTGTTTGTTAAAACAATTATTAACTTGAAATGACTGTTATTATATTGTGGTAAATGCTATTTTATGAGATGAATTTGCAGAACAATGTTGCTGCCAGTAAAATTACATAATAAGACGTAGGGGATAATAATTATGTTTATCAAATAGGCAGCAATGTTGTTTGATATTGGTAAACTACATTGGAAAACTCACAAATCCCCAAATCCTATGGACAACATATTTTGAACATACGTTTAACTCAACTGGTCAACAAGGGGCAAGTTTTCAGAACGAGCAAGTTGAATGATATCTTCACCAATGAGTGAGTGAATGAATGCTGTTTTATGACGGCCCGTCAATAATCGACTGAGCCAAATAAGACAGTGACCAACGATCCACGCCATCGAGGTCTAATCATACCAATCAATCAATGTGGCAGCGTCTGACCAACCTATCATCAGTTCTGTTGAAAAGAAGGACAAAACATTGGTTAGGCGAGTGAGTGATTTGGGATTGACCCTGCCAATCTATCAGTTCACACCATGATGTGGGTAGTTAATCTAAAATATAACCCCGATTCCAGATGATATGCTTATTTGGAAAGGTAATAATCACTTTGTGCATCAACACACACAGATATGCAATGTCAACCGTGTCGCATCACTTCATCATCCATATATATATATTCATTGAACAACATGGAAGCTTGGTCTTGGTGTGCCCGGAATATACCAATAATTTACAAAGGCTGAGTAAAACCATTAAAATAATAGTTCAAAAGGAGTCAGGAATTCATCATAAAAGTGTCGTCCGTAAACTGGGGATGTGAGAAGGAATAATCCCGTAACGGTAACGTAGGACTATCAAATTTGTATCAGTGACCACCAGAGGGGTCCTGTGATGTGCGTCGATGCCTCCCCACACCTTTACGCACCGCAATGTTTGTCGATATCGATAAACCCGCTGACAGACATCACTTCTGTCACGATGAAACCTGGACTCACATGTGGAGTGAACATATCTCCAGACCTGTGACCTGTACCATGCCAGGCGTACAGTTAGTTGACCTCCAACGTCTTATGCAATTGCAGTGGGAAGCATTCTAATTGCACACAACCGCTCACCTTCACGAGGTTTGATCGTGAACAAAGTTGCTTTTTGCAGTTAACACTTGATTACTCGGTGTTTTAATTGATTCCGTCCCATGTGTACCGCTTACGTGTGACGAATTTCTTACTCATGGTATTTTATGCATGACATGATTGGGTAATCATGACAAAGTGTTGATTAGCATGCATGATTCTTAAAGGTCTACAGCAATTTTATTTTAATAATTTAATAATTTAATTTTTATTGTGCTTAGGATTTTCACCCAGCTACCATATATTGACACAATATGAAGTACAAGAGTTTCAGTGAATGAGTGAGTGAGTGAGTTCGGTATCACCCGACCTTGGAAATCATTTCAATCACATCACAGTATCTAAGCTAAAGGAAAGCTAAATGTGGTGCAGGTCTTATAACTGTTTATCACTTTGGTGAAATGCACTATCATGGCGCCGAAGAAAATAAGAATAGCTATCACTGAGAATTACTCTACATTATTTAACTCATCTTTCATACATTCTTTGCAAATACAATATCTTGAAATATATCCAAACTTACATATCAGCATATCGGCTAATGTAAGGTATTGACGAGCTGACTTTTTTCTTAGTAGAAAATTGACAACAGTGCTTAATATCATCAAAAAACATCACTGATTAAGAAAAATGTTGTTGCCAGTTGTTCCACGTACTTTTGTATGTACCAGCTGATGTAGAGGAAACATTTTTTTGTATAATCTTGGCAACAAGGTTTAATATAATCAAAACACATCACTGATTAAGAATAAATAACGAACTTTTGTGGTGGCCGTTTTGGATTTCGAATGGCGTCATTTCTCATCGGCTATCGGTAATATTTCAACATATAACTCTCTTTGACATTAAGACACATAGAAGTAATGATGCATATCAAATAAAAGCTTTGTATGCCCTTTCAATTGATAAATACTATTTTGTTATATCTCAATCAAAACGAAAAATGAAGGTCAAGAACTGTTTTTTATATACATGACTGACTATTCTGTACTGCCCATGTTGTTCATACAATATAACACACAGCATGGAAACAAAGTAATATCTGGAAGACGAAATACCTGATGCCTCCAATGTCAGCACCAGTAAGGTAGACAGATAAATAAAATAATTTGTTTATTTTTCTAGAACATTTACACAGTTTTGCGTGACAATGTATTCACAGAAATAAATCATGATAGCTTGACCAAAGCTTATTAAAGTAATCTCTATTACAATTAATGACGGAAATATTCTTTGGTAACTCATTAACTGTCTACGTATCCCATTTCAATCCAACACAGGTTCCATTCTTGACATAGATTTATTCTAGAACGCTTTTTATCCTATCCAGGGTATCCTTGTTTTGGTTTTGTCTATGTTCAGTTTTAAGACAGAAAATCTAGCATAAAGAACCTGTAGTTCCTGTAGTACACAGGCATCATTCTGAAGTGTCAAGAGAACAAGTTGTGTCATCTACAAATTGTGAGAGTAAATATTAAATATTACCAATCTTTATACCTTTTATGCTATTGTTGTTTCTTATCATTATTGCTAGTATTTCAGCACATAGTATATACATATAGGGAGACAAAGGATCACCTTGTCTGAAATCTCTATATATTTTGAAAGGTAGAATACATATACTTTAAAATCCTATGACATATATTCATCAAACCTTGCATGAGCCTATCATTTCATGTCCAGAGTAACAAACTTGAACACATATGATATAATATCTGCATTGAACATTACATAAGCCTTCTGTTTCATGTCAATTATAAACGTAAGGCTATCTTTCGGGGCATTATCATTTGCAGAAGTCCGAGGTCTTCCATTAACTGCCCGACGAAGGGGAGCAGTTGAAAAGACCAAAAGCTAATGCCCTGAAAAATAGCGTCAACGTTATTAAAGCTAAAATGGATAGCATTTGTTACCAAATAAAAATACACAACAATGTTGGTTTTGAAATCTTTGCTACAATCAACACACAACGAATGTCACTGGCCCACTTTTACAAATATAGAAACGTCATAGAACAAACCAGACGTCAAAAGCTGCACGCCCTATGACGTCACCTAAAAACGGGCGTGACAATGGCCCGTCGTCAAGCAAGATGAGGGTATTATCAAGTTACAGTGGCCAGCGCATTTCTGATAACATGCAGGCGATGTTCGGATAATTCTGTCCACTTAAGCTATGAAGTGATATAACTAAATATATATACTATAATATCCGGTATTCATGGGCTATACATGAGCCTTCTGTATCTTGTCGGAAGCAGTGCCGCGTAATAGGCTTCGAAGGGCACCCTGATGGCACAACCGGAGCATCCAGAGTAAGTCTAGATATCTGTCCAGATAGTTTAAAGCGACTTCATTTCACCACGCTCCACCTTTTACCTTAAATCAAATTTAAAGTCGCAAAAGTGGCCGGGTGTGTTCATCGGTAGTCGTACATTGCAAACATATATTGCTCGATTAAATAATGTCGCTAGTAGCTCTACGCATCACTAATATAAAAGGGAAAGTGAATTTGATGCCTGTTTATATCTTGTTTGGTTTGTAAAGAGTACTTCCTATGTGACAGAGGTCATAGTTATCCAATCAAAACGATTAAAACGAAGTCAACCATGTATCTTACCACCTGTATGTTCACCACGTGGGTAATAATATTTAATATCCGGTGGCATATATTCTTTGATCATTGAGGACCCTGCTTCATGTCCAAAGTAGGTGAGGTGAGGTGAAATGGGGTTTAACGTCGCGTCCAAGATTATTGCACTTATATAGCGACGTGCATGTCCAAAGTAATATGATTGAATAAATATCATTTAATATCCTATGTCACAACACTGAACATAACATTAGTCTCTCATTTTATGTCCGGAATAATAGAATTTGTAAAGAAATATAAGCGGTGTATGTGTCTATGTTAAGAACGAGTTGCGTATCTTGGGCACGCCAGAAACCTATCATCTTGGGTTTGAATCATGATTTGACCCGTGTATGTTTCTAGGTTTGTCAGCACCAAACCCTTGCTCGTAGGTTTCACCAAAGTGGTAAACGTCTAAGACCTGCATCACTTCGGCTTTTCGTCCCACATCAAGCTGACATGCCGTGATACAACAGTTAAAGGTCGCGTTCAAACCCATTCACTCACTCACTCTCTTTTCAAACTCACCTAGATCATGTTCATGCAAAACAAGAACGAACTTCCAGTTCAATGAAAGCAGAAGTTGTACCAACATGGCGCTGTGCTGTCAGTGACGCGGGCCAGACTGAACTGATGAACGGTTGTATCAGCCATGTAACGATCTGGAATTTCTACTGCCACTGTATTTACCCTCATTCGATTAGTCTGGTGGAAATGCGTTTGTTTTATTGGTAATATTCTGATAAGCAATCATGATCAGTTAGCTCCAAAATTATCTCGAGGTACTGTATACTCGTAAAACAGAAACGCGCAACTGGTGTTGACATACTTATTTGAAGTCAATATGCAATACTGATTTATATTCGGGATAAATGCTCATGCATATTTGCATATGAACACTATGTATAGGTCTAAACAGTAGGGTAGCAGTAGGGTAGCCTAGCAGTTAAAGCGTTCGCTCGTGACGCCGAAGACCCGGGTTCGATTCCCTACATTCGTACTATGTGTTAAGCCTATTTCTGGTGTCCATAACTTGTGTGTATTCTCAATTTTGGATGTAATAATTTGCCTAGAGTCTTACGCCAGAAGGCGGTGGCTCATGGTCCAATCTGGTACTTTCGACCTCTGAGTTCTGTATGTCTTCAATTTCTTGTCATGGGCCGGACCAGCCTGGCATTTTATTTGTTAGACAAATATAGCTATTCATGTTGTTCTTACTGGAGTATACCACCTCTGTAACCCTGATGTTTGCATGTTGGAGATCCGGTGCAATAAAACATCGCTCTTTGTGGCACTCCATGGTGGGTGGGGAGCTGAGGTGCTGAATTATTTCCTTTCATCATGTCTCTCCAATACCCTGGTTCAAACCGTTCGAAACGCAGACATGTCGATCTAGATGTATCTGATATAACTGAAAACTTATCTCGTGAATTGGATTCCTGGGCCCGATTTATTGTGATCGAGGCAGCTGATAAACAACCACTAAAACTTAATCCTTTCGCCATCTCAAAAGCAGTTTCAGGAATTTGCGGAGAAGTTAAAAATGTAACACGTCTTCGTAGTGGCTCTCTTCTTGTTGAGTGTTCACGGAGACAGCAATCTCTCAATTTGCTATCTGTAACTACATTTGCAAATATTGAGGTTGCTGTGTCCGTACACAAAACCTTGAATTCTTGCCGAGGCATTGTTCGAGACAGAGCTCGTTGCCTGTCCGACATGTCGGAGCAAGACATTACAGATGAATTGACTAGTCAAGGGGTAACTGCAGTTAAGCGTTTCACCATGAAATCCAGAGACGGTGACATCATCCCGTCAAATACATATATGCTTACATTTGCCCTGTCGGCCCTTCCTAAGTCTGTTAAAGCTGGTTATCTAAACATTGGAGTGGAGGTGTATGTCCCCAATCCACTCCGATGTTTCAAGTGCCAAAAATTTGGACATGGATCAAAATCTTGTAATCACTCTGTAGTCTGTCAGCGCTGTGGTGACGACCATGACAGCACTGGATGTACAGCTGACATTAAATGTTCAAACTGTAACGGCAAACATCTGGCTTCATCTAAATTATGTCCAGTGTGGCAAAAGCAATCAAAAATCATAAAACTCAAACATGAACAAAATATCTCGTTTTACGAGGCTAAGAAGGTTATTGAAAGTCAGTCCCCGTCAACTCCACTTACCAGAACCTACTCTGCTGCTGCTGCTGCTGCTACTATCTCTGCTCCTCCAACGATATCGATTTCTGTTCAAACAGAATTGACTTGGATCAAATCAGATACACCTATCAGCATAACTTCTGTGATTACGTCAAATTCATCCTCGAGTCAAACTGAAACTTTGTCTGTTTACACTGATGCTGTTGCATCAGCTACTAAAGAGCCAGAGGCTACTGTTGAACCAGCAACAACTGGATCTGCCGATGTTACTCTGACCAGAAAAGAAAGGAAAAAACTAAATAAAAAACAGACAAACAGGAACTCCTCTTCTTCAGAGATAGTTGTCCATAACTCCTTTGATGCTCTGGACATGGATGTCACCCCATCGTCACAGAGCAGTAGTAGGAGTCCTTCCTCCACACGTGTACGTGAGCGTTCACCGATTGAGCCACCATGACTCAATCTCCTAACATAATTCAGTGGAATTGCAGAGGACTTAGGAAAAAATTTAATGAAGTCCAATTATTAGCACAAGACTTTAAACCATCAGCTTTTAGTTTACAAGAGACCTATCTTAAGCATACTGATACATTTGAATTGCGTCAGTACAATTCTTATCATTCTTTTTCACCTCCAGGTGATAAAGCCACTGGCGGTGCTTCCATTTTGGTGAGGCAGGGCATCATCCACAGTCCTGTTCATCTCAAATGTAACCTTCAGGCTGTTGCTGTCCGTCTTACTCTACAAGTAACTTTCACACTTTGTTCCCTATATATTTCTCCATCCTCAAATTTGCAGCAGTCTGAACTTCAGGATTTATTTGACCAACTACCTAAGCCCTGTATCATCATGGGTGATCTTAATGGGCATAACCCTCTATGGGGAAGTTCCAATATAAATAATAAAGGGAAAATCCTTGAAGATTTTATTGCTGACAATAATCTATGCATCTTCAACGATGGCTCGAACACATATTTACATCCTGCAATAGGTACGTACACTGCATTAGATCTGTCAATCACAGATTCTAACTTATATAATGAATTTGAATGGTCAGTCCATGATGACCTTTGTGGAAGTGATCATTTTCCGACAGTAATTACAGCTATAAACCCCACTGATGATCCACCTATAACACGATGGAATTTTTCTAAGGCAAATTGGCCGTTATTTCAGAACATATGTACTGACAAATTGCAACACGACCTTTTTATGGATGTTCCTGACCCGATTCAGTTATTTTCCGATCAACTGATAGGTATAGCTGATGAAACTATTCCTAAGTCCTCTGTGAACCCACATATTCGTAAACCATGGTTTACTTATGAATGCAAACAAGCTAGAAAGCGTAGGAAGAAGGCTGAGAAATACTTTCGACGCCATCCTACTGTTCATAATTTGAATAATGTAAGAATTAATTACGCCAAGGCTCGACGAACTTTTAAACTCATTAAACGACAGACCTGGAAGGATTATGTTTCCAAAATAAATTCTCGCACGCCTATGTCAAAGGTGTGGAACATGATCCAAAAAATCAAAGGCAAAGGTTCCAAATCAAGTATTCATCATCTCAAAGATGATAATAATTTATTGACAGAAAAATCAGATATTGCAAACAAACTGGGAGAAACTTTAGCCAAACATTCTTCTTCGTCAAATTATAATCCAAAGTTTCAGAAGTATAAACAACAACAAGAAAGGAAAAAAGTCAATTTTATTTCTGACAATGGCGAAGATTATAACGAAGTATTTTCACTAAATGAGCTACACACTGCTTTAGCACAAGCTCATGATACTGCAACTGGTGCTGATGATATCCATTATCAGCTTCTAAAACACTTGCCTGAATCTTGTCTCACAACACTATTGAATATTTTCGATGATATTTGGACAACAGGACATTTTCCTCCTTCGTGGAGACATGCCATCGTTGTACCCATACCAAAGCCTGGCAGGGATCATACAGATCCATCCAATTACCGACCTATTTCATTAACTAGCTGTGTTTGTAAAACCATGGAGCGCATGGTGAATAATCGCTTAGTTTGGTTTTTAGAAACCAACAATTTAATCAGTGATATCCAGTGCGGATTTCGTAAAAACCGAAGTACAATTGATCATTTGGTTCGTTTAGAATCATTTGTTAAAAATGCTTTTATAAACAAACAACATGCTGTATCTATCTTTTTCGATCTTGAAAAAGCTTATGATACCACTTGGAAGCATGGTATTTTAAAAGATTTACATGACTTTGGTTTAAGAGGCCGCTTGCCTCAATTTGTATCACAGTTTTTAACTGACAGACAATTTCAAGTTCGTGTTGGATCAACCCTGTCTGATCATTATAATCAGGATCAGGGGGTTCCACAGGGCAGTATTTTGTCTGTCACATTGTTTAGCATCAAAATAAATAGTTTATCTAAAGTATTAAATGACTCAATAGATGGGTCATTGTTTGTGGATGATTTTAATATTTCATGTCGTGGTAAAAATATGCATACCATTGAAAGACAGTTACAGTTGTGTCTAAATAAAATTCATAAATGGTGTCTTGAGAATGGATTTAGGTTTTCACAGACCAAAACAAATTGTATACATTTCTGTCGGAAATATAAACCCCATAAAGATCCAGAACTCTCTTTAGATGGCACTCCAATTAAGGTTGTTAAAGAAGCCAAATTTTTGGGATTAATTTTCGACCACCATTTGACGTTTCTACCACATATCAAATATTTAAAGACTAAATGCCTGAAGGCCCTAGATCTGTTAAAAGTCGTCTCGAATTCTAAGTGGGGAGGGGATCAGACAACCCTCCTTCACCTTTATAGATCATTAATCCGCTCTAAATTAGACTACGGCTCCATTGTGTATGCTGGAGCTTGCAAGAGTAATTTAAAAAAGCTAGATTCAATCCACCACCAAGGACTCAGACTGTGTCTTGGTGCTTTTAGAACTTCTCCTGTTGACAGTCTCTATGTCGAGGCTGATGAACCTTCTTTGAAACAACGCCGTGTTAAATTGTCTCTTCAATATATCACTAAATTACACTCTAATCCTTCTAATCCTGCTTATGACTCCGTTTTTCAACCCCTATATGAAGAGCTGTTTCAGAAAAAACCAAAGCTGATTCCACCACTTGGAATTCGGATGAAATCACATATTATTGCTGCAAATATAGATCTAGATATTATCTCACGATATCGTCTCTTGTCTACTCCTCCCTGGCAGCTGGTGAGGCCAGAAGTAGACGTTTCTCTAACCCGTTTTATTAAATCTGACACAAATCAACTTATCTATTAACAGGAATATGTACAATTAAGAAATAAATATGACACCCACCGTTCAATCTTTACTGATGGATCCAAGCACGGTGGCAAGGTGGCATGTGCCACTGTCGTTGGATTAAACCATATCTCATCTAGAATACCAG